CCCCAAAACCCCAAAACCCCAAAACCCCAAAACCCCGATTCACAATATATGAACAAAAATTTGATATTCAACAAATAATACTTTATAGAGTAGCGAAATGATCATTAATCTATAGCTAAAAATGTTGATTATAATTACTCGTTAGAACTGTATTTAAACTGAACTTGTATGTTTCCCTTCTCTCGACCTTAATCAGCTCTGGCTGCCTCAGTTATTAATACTAATTAGATAATTCAAATTCCTTTGTCGAATAAATTTTAACAGCTCTTCAGTAGAGATATCAACAAAAAATCTAGAATGGTATTATCTCTCGGCTCTTACCAATGAACAGAAGTTTTCAGTCAACTGACTATCAGAAGCAAGCACCTAATCTCGAGGATGGAGAGTTCTCCTCAGCTATGTTTGATTTTTATCTCGAGGAGAATGACCACATTAGTGTGCAAGCACACCTACCTCTGTAGAATTCTCAAAACTTGGATTTCCAGCCGAATCCTGATGGACTGAAGCGGATACCAAATCCAAGTATCGACAGTTCCAATCAACAAACTGCCAACTATCGTAATTAACAATCAGCTCGCCGCTAACAACGAGTACCAGCAATTGACTCACAAGATGAGGAACTAATGGCTGCAAGAACTTTCCAGTGATACTCATAACTAAGAGCCTTTACACAACAAAACTCAGGCCCCGAACCACATTTAGAATGAAGAGACAAAATATGAGAGTTGACCAGGCACTCCCAACAGAGATTAAATGAAGTGGGTGTCACACCCAGGCAACCAACATAACTCAGAGAACAAATTGTTCCAGACAGACCAAGCATTCATATGCCAGATGTCGAGCCTGACCTAAAAATAATAGCTAGAAAGCAAGCTCGAGAGTCAATCGAGTCACATGCCGACTCTCAATATCATTCATATGAGGAATTCAAGAGAGGGACGGATCTACCAGCTCATCAACGAAAGAATTTGCCTCAAGAGAAAGAGAAGGACAACATCATACTTGAGAGTGTGGTCTCACTTGAAGGAATTACAGTGAACAGCATCAGGACCAGTGGATTGTCAGGTGTAATGAGGTCCAAAGCCGAAATCTACAATATACTTGTTTACCAAGGTAACTCACTCAGTTGATTCACCTCTAGGAAAATGCTACCTGCCACCATATCATATCTGCCCCATTGAGTTCTTGGTGGGTGTGTTGAGTGGCAAGAAGAGGGTAATCTAACTCTTGCATTCACTCACTATCGGTGCTCTTAAACGATCAAGTTAGCATGATAAGTGCTCCAAAGCAAAATGAGTTGGCTACTAAGGAACTGCTGGTCGATGCCTATAATGATTAAATGATCAAATACAACCTGCCAAACATAAGTGATGAGAGAAGAGTAAGGAGGCAGTTCCTGTTCAATGTAGATAGCCCCTGTAACAACTGTAGGTAATCAACACTCTGAAGCCTTAGTTCTTCAAACATAGCATCCAGACTAGATTGAAGAAGAGACAAGATTAGGTTGCTCAGAGTAACAAGAAATTTATAGATATGGTAGATGAAATGTACAGACCTGTGAAAAAGGAAGTGGTAATCAATCCAAGTTCCAGAGGCAGGGCTTTGAAATTGTTTTGAATGTAGGAAGTAAGAAGAGAAAGCGATCCAAGTAGAGTAGCAGACTGATTGTCAAGGATAATTCTCTCGTTAGTTTCTAGTGTGGAGAGACTTTTAGAACGAACCACTCTTCTCCAGCCAAGAGATTCAAATACAATGCCATGGACAAGGGCGACGTTGGTGAGGTATCTTTAAGACACAATGCATTCGCCATGAGTTAACATTCATTCAGCAACTTCTCAGAGGAGTGATCAGTTGCCTCAGTTCAACAACTTTGGCATAGCAGAGCAAGTCCCTAATAGGAGAGTATTATGATAGCAACAGTCAAATCTTAACCTTATTCTAATCAAAACATTCACTAGCCATCATTATGTGGCATTTTCCATGGGTCCATAGTTTATTCTTTAGCTATCACAGCTGTCAATATTTAATTCACCTACATATTATCAAGCATCTCAGTTAAATACTTCAGTCTGTAAATTTAATCACTGCAACTATATCATAAGTGCCAATCGCTTCCAGCCTTCCAGAGATCTCACTCTCAACAGCCCTAGAAGCAAGTCTTGACTCAAGATATTATATCTCCAGGATACTTGCCTAAAGTGAGATGCGATTTTCCACAAGAGCATTTTATCTTCGATAATCCTCAACTAAGTCATTTATGACTAATTTTTTTTGCATATTGAAATTTTGAAAAGCTTAATTAATAAGTAAACTCTTTCAAGCAGAATGTGTTTTGATATTATTAATATTAAGTTAATATGAATAACTTTTACTTTTGAGAGCTATTAAACCTGATTTTTATTTAATTCTCCTCTCTTATCTCGCTTTATTATTTAAGCGGGGTTTTGGGGTTTTGGGGTTTTGGGGTTTTGGGG